ACTGGAACGTTTATTCTGACATGGCTGATTCACAAGAATTAAAACAACGCCAACATCAAATAAAATCGTCGTAATCGACATCGTCTTCGTAATCTCCTAGCACCTTGCCAGCGACAACATCAGCCAGAAAATCGTGCTCCACAAGCTTTACCTGTACTTTCTTCTTCATTTTTGGTTGCTTTGACTAAAATCAACTAAGATTATATCACAGTTCTGATCACAAAATAAAACTAAGTTTTAAATCTAAATATGATTCCTACGGGATAAGTTAAAAGAAACTTGATTCTGTCACGAGTTCCTTCGCAAACATGTGGAGCCTTTACATAAACGGTAAATGTGCACAGCTACAAATAAAGAAGATGGCAGAAAACAATTACGAGATCCGAAAAATGTTGTAGATGACCAGTAACAAGACAAGAGATTCTAAAAAATTTGGATATCAGAAATCAGGGTCAGTCTAACACCAGATTACTACAAGTCATTGCATTAGTTTAGTCACCATTAGAAAAGGACTGTTTAAATTAAGCAGTTACGAAGAGACTGCAACTGATATCTTGATGATTTAAACAATGGGTAATATTATGAACGAGCGATCCAGGATATCGGTGACAGAAACGAGGTATCTTTCGTCGAACTACTGGTGCATGAGGAAGAACAAGTTTTGGAACGTGAGAGTCTGAGACGTTGGGGGAACCTTTCATAGACCAAGTAATTATAGCTGCCATGATTAAGACGTAATGAGGATGTCACAGCAAAGATTTATCGGATGCATATTCTTATCAAAGTTACAAATTAGATGGTCTAAGGGTAGACCGCATAGCGAATGGCTCGATGACATAGAAGACATAGCAATGCACCGTCTTGGAATCAGACCACAGAATTTGCTCGATTGGCGAAAGACAGAGGCCGTTGAAAAGGTTTCCTCAAGCAGCTGCTTTCGCAACGCAAAAGGAAAGAATTATTAATACCACGAACAAAGGTCGTAGCGTGAAAACGTTAGTGACATGGATAAAAACGCATAAGTACTTAGATATGATAAAATGTAAGAGATCATGACAGCAACATGATGACTGGTTCGCTGATGTCGATAGCATGCAACAGATGAAAAACAAGTCATGACCAAGCAAGAAACGCCTGACTCCTATGAATTTGACCACCCCACTGCCCAAAACATTCTAAAACAAAGAGAGTCTGCTCAGATCTGTCTGAATGACAAGGGCTGGCAAATCATTCGATATTTTATCCCCATTGTCTGCCCTCTACTGTGTTAATAGCATAACATTTTTTCCGCTGGCTCGTTTTCCCACAGCGACAAGCGTTCTTAACATTTACATAATTACTTTATAATGACAACCGAGTTTATACCGGACGTCTGTTTAAATTCTATTTATAACTATAGATATTATATAACCAGATGTAAATGCTGAGGAACGACCGAACAAGTATAGCCTAAATCACAATACTCAGAACTGAAGTTCCTTAAGAATGGCCGTTGTTATGGCAGGGCCGCATTAGATCCGTAATAGATCCACTGGAGATATTCATGCACGCAAACCTATTTTTCTCCAAATCGTAAGATCGTAAATGCAATTTGTATAAATGGTCAGAATGTCAATGGAGAGACTTGCAAGACAAATTCAGTGCGTTGTAATGCATGAGAGGTAGTCAACAAGCAGACAATGAATGACGGCTCCATTATACCTTATGCTTGGCATTGCCATGGTTTGAAAATTCATTGAGACAAGAGTTTATTCTACCAA